CATCCTGTAGCTGCTGTGTGATTGCACACAGCAATTATCCGTGTGAAGGCTGAGTAAAGTGACTGCTGCTGCTCTGGCCCTCAACTTGGGAAAAGTATCAGTGCCACCTATGGCAAATGCTGGCCTTTTAATTCCCGTCTGGGCCAGTCAAGTCTTACAGGTACACTAGGCAGAAACATCAGCAAGCAGTGGTCTTTCTTTCAGACAAATGGAAAAAAGTTGGCCTCGTTGAACAGAAATAGCAATTACACTTCAAGAATGGCCAAAGTAATGTTTTTGCTACAAAGCTGAGAAGAAGGCCTGGATGTGGACAGAACTCAACCTTTGTAAAAAGCTATAAAGACACTCACAGCTGATTAGCAGATGTTACAAAGGTCATCCTAAGAGATGAAACCAAGCATTCCTCTGTGTTTGAAGAGCTGTGCAAGTTGACCAAAGCCCTACACAGGGCCGAAGTTGGTAAGGGCACTGTATCCAAAATGAACTTTTCAAGTTTCTGACAGACATCATAGCCGAAGACACTTCTGATTAATTGGGGACACATGCTTTGAACACCCAAATGGTCAAAGAGTTAAATAAAGCAAGTAGTCCAAGTCTAGCTAACATTAACTGCCTCACAAGAGCTCAATTTTTCCACATATATTCAATTATCAGGAAAAGTCAACAGCACTTCCAAGTTAAAAGGTCTTGTCAAGAGTAACAGTCTCCAAAGGAAACAGTTCAAGATTCAAACAGGATTCTAACTTGTCTAACACTTCACTATAGATTTCAGTTACAAATTAGTTTGACAGGTTGCTAGACTGGGAATTACTGTAGAACAAAGAAAAGGGGGAAATGCTCCTTTTACACACTTTCTGTGAGCCACCAGATTCTGATATACATGTTTATCAGCACACTCATCCACTAAGCTGTCTTGGAATATTGCTGATTTATTGCAGTTCTGCACAGTGTTGGTTATCAGTGGTGTTACTTTAAATTATGAAATTGCCTGTGGTGTGTGTGAGCAATTAATATCTAGACTGCCCAAGCAAACTGTTGCATACAGCTCTCATCATTGGGAAACTTGCCATGTACACAAAATGTATTTCACTTGACCACTTCCTGCATATGTTCCTGGCCACTTCTCAGTTCCATAATAAACAGTTTATAACTCTTAAGAACCTCCTCATTGCTAGCATCCATAGAAAAATCTGTCACTGTCCTGGTTTTTGTCTGGGACAGAGCTAGATCTGAATGAAACTTCTCTTCATTCCCAGCCACCATTTATCCTCATTTTAAAACACAAAAATTTAACATCAGATGTCATAGTCAGACACAGCAAATGGGTCTGGTACATTCTGAAAGACTCTCAGAGGATGTTGTCTGAAAACCTTGTATTTACTTAGTATGTCAGAGAATTCCAGATGTAATTTACCAGCCTACTCTTCATGCTTCATGTTATTTTAACAATAAAACACAGTTTCTACTCCAGTTACTTTATGCACTTTAAACACAGCTCTCTGAAATGAGACATAAGAAGCTAAAGGTCTAGGACAGCTATCTTGACCATAGTATTTTTTTAATCCTTTAAATGAAAAGTTGTAGCTCTACTCAACCATTCCAGCTAATCCTTCTTGCAGTGCTGACCAGGATTGCATTTCAATACCTGTTTGAAGGACGTAAGAGCCTCCCTGCTGCTGTGCTACATCTTCTTGGCCTTTTTCATTACAAATTATATATCTATGTTGAGATACTATTTGTCATAACAAACATTTGCATGTTACCTGTTTAAGACCCAATCCTTCTTCGCTGCTCAATACACACATTTTATTTTACCTAAACATTGACATTTTATTCATTCAAACTGCTACCTATAGTCTATTATTTGCTTTTCTCTTCCATCTGCCATGTTGTCTACAAGCTTTACCATGAACGATTCTTTTCTCAGGTCTCTGAAAGGCTTAAAGACTAGCTTGGTAGGATCCTTAATGAAATTGTCCTTACAACCCTTCCACCCACAATGGTTCTGCACTGTAATTAGAGATAGGCAATCAGTCTACAATATTTAAAAAAAACCAACATCACCAACAGCAATAAAAAACCAACAACAAAAAACCCACCAAAAGCCCAACCAAACAATAAACTACCTTCTGCAGAGACTTGTGCTCATAACTAATTCAGATATAGCCACACGATGTTCTAGGCTACATACACAGTAAGTCATGCCAGGAGTTCTGTGTAAACTCACCATAGACACAAACCACTTTCCTAAACTGATTTTCAGCTTAGTTTCTTGCTGCTACTACCCTAATTCTGACAAGTTGAAACAACTTATAGATGCTTAAGCATGTTTATTTTGTATTAGTTATATCTACCATAAAATCTAATAAAAATGCATTAAACTTCCTAAATACAAAATATTCAAGTCCCCAACAGTGATTCTATTATTGTGCTTGGATTGATATTTGGATGACCAATGTCCCATTACCAGACACAATTCAGATGTAAAGACAGCAGAAAAGTAGCATTTATTGAATGCTTCACTTCCTGCAGTGACAATTCTACTACATCCAGTCATCACATTTAAGTTGATCAGGTTCCCCTTCTCTAGTATGTTTAACACTACTTTAACTTCAATTTCTCCTTGTAATCCTTTTGTTCAAAGTATTCTGAATCTACTCTGTTTAAACTGAAAGAATTTATAGTGTCAAGTTACACATTTTACTAAATAAATATTTTCAGCTGAAGGTTGAAGGGTGATTTTTTTTTTTTTTAAAGCAGTATGTTCTCCTTCCAGAGGCACAGTATTCTGGAAAACTAACAGTAGTATTCCAAATGCTCAAAGCAACACCCAGTTACTTCAGTCACATGTAAATCCCCTCTCCCAATCATGCTGGCTCCATTGTTTTATCTTTGTGAAACTTACACTTAAACCCATAGAGCACACAAAGATATCTGGACTTCGTTTTGCCTGAACATGAGTAACCAGTTCATGGCCTGGTTCGTTGTCTACATTTGCAAGATCAGATGTAACAAAGCCTACCCCTGTAGGATATCAGATCTTGGTAAAGAGCTGTCCATAAAACTCCTCAAGATGCTTACGATTTATAACTTTGAACATCCCCAAAAATATGCAGGCCTCTACTCAAAGTAAGATGAAATACCAGAATCAAAGCCTTCAGGTACAGAAGATTAAAGACTTGAAAAAGACAACCCCAAAATCCTGAAGTATACAAAAGTGCACTAACAAAAGCAGAGACCAATGTTAGCTACTTAATTCTGTAGAAGATTTTATAGAACAAGAACTGCAATGAGTTTCATGAAGTTTCGCAGTCCAAAGTGTCTGAAGTGTAATTAATCAGCACATACTCAGTTTCGTTCTGATTATTATCCCCTACTGTACTAAGTTATCTTTGTCATATCTCACAAATATGCACAGAAAAACTATCAACTGCAGAACAGTAACATTGCTTTCAGTCTATAGACAGCCTTAACACTAAAACTAATCCTCATTGCAGTTGCTCAGCAACTTAAGTATACCAGTACCAAATCTAATGGAAGCTAGCAGCTGTCATATCAAAAGAAATAAAGCAATATTCACACTTTTATACTGTCTGAAGATGATCTAGGAATTAAGTTGTGTTATATATAGTACAACCAGTTTCTGGCTTATGTATTATCAAGAAATCTACTAGTAGTTAAAAAAACTGGCTACAAAAGAGTCTTCAGAACAGAGCAGGCCTGGCTTTAAAAGTCACTGCAAATAGCACATTTTTAATACAGAAGGCCAAAACCAAAAGTAGTATTACATCTCACCTGTACCAGGTATTTTTGGCTTCCATACATTACATACTGAGGGGCAAGACTGTAGATCATGTAACTTGTATGAAGAACGATCAACAGCAGTATCATACAGAGAAACAAGAGTGCTTGAGGTCGAGTTTTCCCTCGTCTGATTTTATAAAGCTGAAAACAGAAAACATACAAATAAGATTTTTTTTTCCCCCTGAAGACATTTAAAATCCTTTTAAATTCAAGTAACAGCTTCAACTACATTGACAGAAGTGGGAGGCTGCTAAAATTATCCTCTGCCAACTTCATCCCAGCAAGTCAAAGCAAGTTTTCAGGTGTATTTGCCTGAATTTCAAGCATAACTATTTAACCAAATTAACTATTTTTTTATATTAATGATCCAGAACAGTTATAAACCAGTAGTTAGTAGCAAGATTTAAATGCTGTTGCCTATCACTGATAACAAACCATGCCTTGGTTTGCCAAAGAATATTGTGTCCTTGGTCAAGGTGAGGTGTCATCTAACACCACCTCTAATCAGATCTAGAAACAGAGGATGAGTTATGAGAGATGCTCTGAGAAGACTTGCACACCACAGGGTGGCATCTTTTCCACTTCACACAGCAGGGAACATAATCCTCACTGTTACTCTGTAGATGCCACTCTATTCTGTAATCTGCAAAGGCTCAACCTGAGTACCATATTAGGGTAAAGAAGCTGGCAGCTGAGAGGTACATGATGGAAGACCAAAAGCAACAGCCAATCTCAACTTATTTGCAAGGACTCAGGGTCACTGTTCACAATTTTGGAGTGTCACCATATAAAAGGGTGACAATATTAAGGGGAAAGTAGGCACAGAAGCCTGTAAACATTTAACCAAGCATAATAGGCATGAATGGCATACTGTTAGATATAAAGCTGCTTTTTCAAATACAGTAATATATTATTTGCATCATATTTAGATACGCTATAGCATCACTGTACTGTTTTATCTCTTATCAAGCTAGATAAACTTGCTTACCACATAAAAAAAGGAAGTCAGGTACTACCAACTGCATGCACATTTCAGATTTTGACCACAAAATTCACTAGTACTTCCAGTATATCAGAATCATATTGCTTTAACTTGGAAAAGTCAGAAGCTAAAGTGCCATTGATTAAAAGAGTCCGCTGATAGTATTGCTTATCAAACTAGAATATCAGTTTTAATCTGATAATTTAGAAAAACAGAACACCTTTCAAAAGCTGTAAAAACTGTACAATAGGCTTCTAACACTCATTAGACATACAGACAATGCTATTTACAACATCCAGTGTTTATGAGGTAGCATATAAATAATGAATATTTATTAAATGTATTCAATATCACATATTTGTTAAACATCTTATTGAGTATTATAACTAAACTCTTAAGTTATATTTACCCTTATCCAGAAGAACCATATACCCATATTTCGAATCCCTGCCATTGAAGTGAAGATAAAGTACATAACAATAGTTGTAATAAGAATATAATCAAGTGGAAAAACCTAAAACAAGAAGAACACAAGCAGTTAAAGACAAGAAAATGTTCAAATTAGAACACAAGCTCTTCTCCCCCTTAAATATGTAATTTCTAGCTATAGCATCTGAGGTAGTAAGAGTGCTTCCATTTAAAGGTTTCACACAGTTGGCTCCAAAAACAGCTAATATAGCCTGCTGCTAATAGAGCTTGTACAATCAGTTTAGGAAAGCATCTGAATACTTTTCTTCATTGAAAACTTGCCTTAGTTTTGAACTGTTACACATTTTTGGACCAAGAAATACTTAATTCCATTCCGAGAGCACATTTTAGGACTGTATAGACATTCTATTTGTGAATATTTCTGAACACATTTGCATGCAAAACTTGGTTTTTATATTCACATTAACAACAGCTTGAGAGAACAATGCTGCTGAACACTTCTCAGTAAACTTCAAGCTTAGGTGTACAATAGTTTTAGAAACCATGGAGAAGTAATGCATTGTGCCAACCCATTATACCAAGAAAGTGGAAAGAACTCAACTAGGGGAAAAAGTAAAGCACTAGGTTACATTAAGGCTTTTCTTTTTCATAGCTTACTCATGATGGATCACAAATTAATACATGGCCTTGTTGCCTTTCAATCCTACCAAAGTTAAATGTTTGTTCTTACGTAGAGTTTGTTTCAAAGACTAATGCATTACTATGCATTACAGAACATAATACGTCTCTCAAGTTGCAGTAAACATTAAAAAGTGAAAAAGTGCATTTACTTCACTTAAAGGGAATAAACTATCAAGTACACAAGCAACTAGAATACAGGTAGGGCATGGCAGAAAGTTGCTTTTATTCTGTGCATGGTAACTACAAGTGATGGCATTCTTCATTGCCACTATGTTATCACCAGATGAAAGTTAGTTTTGAGCACCACCTTCATCTAGCAACTGGCTTCCACCCACCCCCAGATTTTCATGTCAGTATCTAATAACTAAAAGATTGTTAACAAGGAAGTTGCTTTGCTTTTACATAACACACATCCAGACAATTTTGTTTTAATGAATTACTTGAGGAGAAGTATAGTTTGCCTTTTGACAGCTTACTAGAAAACAGAGATTAGAATCATAGAATGGTTTGGGTTGGAAGGGACCTTAAAGCTCCTCCAGTTCCAACCCCCCTGCCATCAGCAGGGACACCTTCCACTAGACCAGGTTGCTCAAAGCCTCATCCAGCCTAGCCTTCAACACTTCCAGGGAGGGGGCATCTACAACTTCCTTGGGCAACCTGTTCCAGTGTCTGCTTAGCATCTTTCCATATGCATATCATCATTTTTTTTACTTACTGTTTGAAGAACAGGTAACAGCATATTCAATGGATTGGTCAGATTAGTTCCTAAAATTATAAATCCTGAGTCGAAGCCAGCTGAATGCAGAGCTTTGTCCAGACTACAGTAATTAAGAAAAAGTGGGTAAGTACTATGGTTCTCCACTGCTTTGTCTTTAATTTAAAAGTGTAGCTCATAAAAAAGCTGGACTAAGCCCAGAGACTGGCAGCTTTTCTGTATCTATAGAGATACACACTTTGTTTTACCACAGTCACTGCACTTGTGCTATGAAAAGGTATATTGATTTATGCATCTTCTTGCTAATTTTAGCTTTTTCCTAGTTTGGATCATACAGTTTATTTGCCCAGGCTAAAAAATTAAAAATGACAACATTTAAGACCTCTAGTTAGTGTCAATCTGCACCAAAATCCACCAGATTTGTGGCTGCCTATATTGCTTTCAATGCTATGAAACAATGACAACTTAATGCACATCATAACGGATTACACGTGTCATTTACTGCAACAATTTAAGGACCTGTTACCCAGCCCAAGAAGTACCTACATGTGTTAAAATTCATCCAAGCAATCAGAATGCTTCTGTAGTCTGAATTAAAGTTCCTTAGCATATATGCTTAATTTCTCTGCTAAATCAGAACTGTTTTCAGCAGCACCCAGTCAATCAAGCTGAACCATGTCCTTTTTTGAATCTATCTTAGCACATTTTGTTCATCTTCAATATGTACTATTACAATGAGAAATACAGCTCTAGTTACAGAAATGTAGCATAGAAAAGTGGGCTGACTCTTGAAGCAAACCACCTCTGATTTTGATGTTAGAGCAGAAACTATGTAGTTTAAGTGGTTAAGAAAAATGCTGAAATGTACTTACTTTGACAAGAACAGAGAAACAGTGAAGAGCAGCGCCACAATGATGAAGAATACTCCCCACACAATCTAGAAGTAAAGATTTATTACAATTTAACTGAAAGTGCTAGCAGTTGATCCAGGAAGTGAAAAGTTATTTCAATAAAGGACTAAAGATCTTGGACCACCTCAGAGCTCACACACACTTGAAACAGTAACTTTTTGGTAAACACTGGAGAGAAGTGCTAATAAAATATGTATTCTGTTAAACAGGGTTTATGTCAAGCATTTTAAAAGTTGATAACCTAAGATAAGAACCACCTCTTCACCTGGTGGACACACTAAGCTCAGAACCAACCATTAAAGTTCATCCCATGCTACAGGGCAATTCAAAAGTCTAGCCATTAAGTCAAAAGAACATAGATGAGATGTTATATTCAATGAACACAGCATTGAGCAGAATGCACAACCTGTACTTGCTATATTAAATGGAAAACCTTAGCTATATACATGCGAATGGGCTTAATTAAGGGAAATTAGAGTTTGTTTCTCTTGGTCATATCTGTGTGCTCACCTTTCAATAGGAGGCAACCTGTGCAGAGCTTACAAGGAACATCTCTCCTTTCCTGAGTGAGAGCCCCCTTCTGTAGCACTACTCAGAAACACTCAATGACCAAATCATTTGGATGGAATGATATAAAACTCAAGTAAGCAGGCCCAAATACCAGGTCCACTTTTTTTCTTGCTTCTGCCTGCAAGTCCTCTCAGTTACTCATCAATATCAAGTATTTCAAAGCCATTTTCCAGGTCCAAGTTACAGAAAGGACAGATTTTCAAAGTATTTTGACACAAAGGTTTGTCACCTAGAAATTTATCTTTGAAATTATGTGACAACTTGAGAATGGACTGGGAAAAAATGCTTATAAATATTAAGGTAGTAGGAAAAATACTCCAGTTTCACAAAAAAATCTAACTAAGTGCTACTTAAATACTATTATTCTAAAACACCATCTATCCACAAGTGATTAAAACAAGAGGAGATTACTACAACCACATCACAACCACCAGAAAAAGGCCTCTCTTCTGGAGAAGGTTCTAAAGGAACTATGGTCAGTAGACAGGTACCCAATATCTCCTTCAGAATATGTCTGTCTTCTGAAGAGATGCATAACACTCTTAAAAGTAGATAAGTGGTTGAAAAAGCACTCCTTTTCCCATTTTAACCTCAACTCCAGTCCCATTAAATATGAGACTGAAAAGGCTAATAATAAAGACCTTTGTTCTTCCTTAGCTCACCCTGTATAGCTCACCTGCTATTAGGACTATTGAACCATAAGTGATTTGCAATTAACATCAACCTACACTTGCACGATTTCAGCGCATCAGTTGACTTAGGCCTTTCACAGAAGTTATCCTTGTGTTCTAACCTAGATTCTCATCCTACCTCAACTGATTACATACCAATTGACACCTCATTTCTAGTCTATTAAGTAGCACTTGGCCAACAATTAAGAGAATGCCAACACTCAGACTAGTAGCTGAGCTTACAATTTACAGAGCCTGTCTGAGCCTTATCAAGCGGTATCAACATGGTTTAAATTAAAAGCATGCCTCCAGTTGGGTATCACTTGGTATCTGAGTAAGAAAAAAAGTACTTCCCTTCCTTTCCCCTCACATCAAGCCTAAAATAGGCTAGAAAAATGCTGCAGCAGGAGCTATATACTCACAGTTGATTTTTGTCACCTATCGTAAAGGACAAATCTGTCATCTACAGTCTTATTGGAACACTACTGTACTGCTGTTTACTGGCTTTAAACCAACTAGAGTATCTTCAAAGATTCTAGATACACTTAACCATGAAAATTTAAATAGAATTTTGCTTTGTGTCACAACATAAATGAGAACGAATCCAAGACCCTGAGAACATGAATACAACACAAAGGAATTTAGTAAGGTCATTACAAAAAAAGAAAAGGCAGCCCTATATCCATATTAAGAGAAGTCTAAATTTCAGTGCAAAAAAATCTTCTTTCCTACTCCCTAGCTCTTCTGAAAGCAGCACCTCAATGAAACCACAGTTCAAGCTCTGTTACCTCCACTACAGTCAGTTTGAACTGCTCTGTTGCCAGGTCATTTCCTCATATCCCTCAGCTACAAAGCACAGACCCCATACCCACCTGTACTCAAATCATTTGATAAAGACAGGTTTCAGAGCTGCTGCCTTGCATCTACATGACCTCTAAGTGTCTGCTTGGGTGTCTACAAGCTAGTATGCATACAAGTAACCACCAAAAAAGCTGTGAACTATGCTTTTATACAAGACTGCAGATATTACAAAAACAGTAAGTTCAAATAATACCTAATAATAAGTCACAAGCTGGTAAATCTTTTCTGACATTATTCATGTTCTGCTGCATCATTTTTCCCTGGCTCCTCCCTTCAACTTCCTAAACATTCTCTTGACCCCTGCATCATCCTTGTTTGAGTTATTCAGAGAGCTCTTTGCCTCCTATCCCTGCTCCCAGATCTCAGTCAAGCTAAACTGTTTAATTTATGGATAATTCCAAAGTGTTACTAAGATAGTAATGGAATACAGAACTTAAATTATTCTGAGAAGGAATGACCACATGATCCACAAATTTACATGGTACTGCCTTAAAAAGCCTCAAAATTAACTTCTAAAAATTGTTAATATTTGCTCCTCCAAAAAGCTAAAAGAATACTCACCTGCCCAATTGTTCCTACAGTGGTACTCATGCACCAACAAAAACCAAAACTGTGAATCTGCTTAGGACAGCTATTCCATGACTTTGAACCAACATTGAAACAACACAAAAATTTAAAGTAGCGGTCATCTTCTCAGGGCTGGTATCCATTAACAGAGTAAAGAAAACTGGTGGCACATTATTGAAGAGTTACACTGACCAAGAAGCAAAGCTGGATTCCTCATGGGAAACACTTACTATTTGTGTTGGGTTTACATGGCAAGGTTTTGGTAGCAGTGGGGGGTATAGGGTTGTCCTCTCTGAGGAGAGACGGGAGGCTGCCCCGTGCTGGACACTGCCATTTCCAGCTGGCTCAAACTGACCCATTGCTGGTCAAAGTTGAGCCCGTCAGCCAAGGAGGTGGCCCCTCTAGGAAAACATATCTAAGAAAGGGGAAAATATCAGACAGTAGAGAGGAGCAAGAGGAAAGAGTGAGAAACAGCCTTGTAGGCACCAAGCACTAAGAATGAAGATGTGCTGCTCTAGGCAATGGAGCAGACATCTTTCTCTAGCCCATTAAGAGGCCCATCCATGCTGGAGCAGATAACCACATTCAGCCTCTGAAGAGCCACACACCAGAACAAGTGGGTATTTTCTGAAGGAAGTTGCAGTCTACAGAGATCCCACATGCTGAAAAAGGTTCTTCTGACAGGAACCACAGCCCATGGAGTAGATCTGCCCTGGAATATGGACAGAAGTGTGAGGAAGAAGCAGGAGCAGAGGTGTTATGAACTGATGGCAACTCCCTATTCCCCATTCCCACTGTGCCACTCCAGAGTCAGAACTAAAGGAGTGAAGTTGAGCCTGGGAAATAGTGGAAGGCAACAAGCTATTTTAAACTGTCTTTGTTTTTTACCATTCAAACCAATTTTAACTGTCAATTTTCCTCAACTCGGTTCTGACCATGACAGTAACTGGTAAGTGATTGCCTGATCAGAACCCACACATTTTTCTCCATCTTATTTCCTCCCCCATTCTGTTGATGGGGAACAAGAGAGCAGCTAGGTGGGCATTTGGCAGCCAGCAAATTCAACCCACTGTGCTATCACATAACATGGCCTACTTTCCAGGAAGATTCAGGTAACCTGGTTAAAAATGATTGTTAAATGAAGAAAAACACTTGAAGTTATCGCTATGTAAACTTAGGACATGAAATATTAACATCTCTTGCTTGTCATGCTGCCAATTTCCCTGATGCAGAAGATGCAGCTGTGAACACAGGAAGAAAGCCTGTCAGTATAGCCACACCACCTCTTTGAGGCAACTAGACTACTACAGTTTGCACTAGCTAACACTGTCACCAGAGTTATCTAAGCAATTGCCTACAGTTTCCTCTCTTTCAGGTCTCTCCAGAGAAGTAGGGTGAGAGGAGGAAAGAAAGAAATCAAAAGCCCTTTAAAAAACAAAAACAAAAAACCCCCCAAAATTACCCTAGCCCTCTATCCTCAAGACAGCATTAACTGTACCTATGCTTCTCTGAAGGCCTTCAGGAACAGGTGGAGAGACTGATGCATCTATACAAAGTCCTCATTATCCTTAAGATTAGACAGGAGAACAGTTTAACTCTCCCTTGCTAGAGTTCAAGTGTACCACTCTCTATTTATCAAGAGTACACTGTTCTCTATAGTACCTTTCCTGTACTTGGACTGATACCAATGCCTTTAACTCCCTGCTTAAGCTAAGCCACATGAGCATGCTCTGTTCACATCAGTCTCAATCTTCAAAATGGAGCACTTCATTTTCTTATATTACCCCCCTTAGGCATTTCTTCAGTTGGTTCATAATTGTTTTGGAGTACCCCACTAAAAAACAATGCAGTACTCCAAACTTACAGTTGTTGAGTAGGCTTCCATGTTGCACAACCTATAGTCTTGTTCATATATTGAGCAAACAACTATTTGCTCTGGAGGTCTGGGGTTTTCCCCCCCCCCCAAACAGTTCTTATGCCTATCCCTAGGGTATACCACATCTCTATTGCTGCTGAGAGTATCAGACGAAAGTGTGAGAAACCATAATTAAGAAAGGAGAAGCAGTAGATTTTCTATCTATAGGAAAGGTTACATTTTGTAGAAAGAAATTAGACTAGTTTTGACATTACTTGACAACCCCATGCTGACCATTACTCATTTCCTTGGGATCTTCCAGGTGTGTTGCTCTTGACTAAATTGAAAAATTAACAGCTTCATCTTTGATTTTGATTTAGCTTTGAGTAAAACAAGCATTCTCAAAATTTACTCTTCTCCACACATTCTTGAACAGTAATGTAGAAGTTGTGATAAAGATAAAAGTGTTGTAAAAGCAACAAGCAAAGCTCCAAGATACATTCTGCACTTCTACATTGATCAGAAGTATTACACTTGGACAGTAAAAGATTTTCTTCTTTTCATGAAAGCCACTAACTGAACAATTGACAAGTTATAAATGGGTAGACAACTCAAATGTTATTAAAGTAACAGTAAAACAGTCCTGTAAGAGTTAAGATGTTATTAATTAAGTGATGTACATTATCACCTTCACAGGACTGTTTAAGGAAAAGTCAAAGTCAACAAGTAACATGCTTCACAGCACAACCCTATTCTAAGTGAAAATCTGTCAGGAAATACTATCCACCTGCAACTTCCCTTTAGTCTGGCATTCTCAAGTCAACAGTTCACAGTGACTGACACAGTTACTGAGAGGAAAGAAAAAGCATTCAAACCACAAGAACAAAGAGACATTGGAACACCATCCTGACCACGATAATCTGTAAGTAACCGATCACATTGTACACTAGCCTATGAGAAGACAATGAACTATTAAAGTCCTAAAACAAGAGATACAGCCAATGCATTTATCAAAGTTAAGGTTAATGTGAAAAGTTAAGAAAACTACATAAGCTATTTGGAATCCAAGGCAGCATCCAAACTGTTAAAGTGAATAGTTCGAGACATTTGTCCTTTAAATCAAAGGGCTAAGTCTAGATTTTCAATGTATCACAGGAAGATAACTCTTGTAAGAATTTTATACCAAAAGCTTTTGTTCAACTGCGATTTCAGCCCCTTTCCATTGGTACTCAGCATTAACAGTAGCAATGATAGAGGAAATTGCTTATAGCCCCCATCCCCTCAGCTTTTCAAAGTGCAGGCTACGGGTTAAAATAATGCTAAAATTTCTTCCTACATCTAGTTGGCAAAAAATACTTTATATAGCAATACTGTTCTATAAAAGTACTGGTTTTTAGAACAAGGTATCTACTAAAATTAAAGTCCTAAGATCAAAAAGAGACCAAGATCAAAGCTTTACCCCAGTAACAGTTTCCTTTGCACTGGCTAAGTATCAATATGTAGCTAGCTTATTATTGATTAAGTAATTCTTGGAAAGATGCTCATTCCAAATACATATATTCTCAAAGTATCTCTCACTTCTGCTGGCTACATTTAATTTAGATTAAAGTAAGCTACCTAACAGCTACGGAATTCTTTCTCTTCTCTTTTTCACATGCCTGAGAAAAGATGATATATGGAGATTTTCTATGACAGTGGCACTAGAGTAGATCAGTTAGAACTTTCTCCTTTTTAATCTTAGTCATATTTTAGGCAAAGTAAAAGGTTTTCTAAGTGCTCAAACACAGCTTGCTATAGGGCTGTTATTGCATAGCATAATAACTAAGCAGTTGATATTCAGGATGATAACTGATAAACTGGACCTATGGTTTATATGGGAAGAAGAAAGCTGGAAGTCATTCCAATTTAAGTCTCAAAAAAAAAAAAATCCAGAAAATTTTTTACCTTTAGAGGTCTGATAGCTTCACAGAACTTTGTCCACCAGCTTTTCTCAATAGACTCCAGATGCCTCTCTCTTCTTCGAAGTGTCCTTAGTCTCTCTTCTAGTTGTTGTACAGTCCGTCTATCCCTTGATGACAGAGGTCGACCATCTCTACACTGGTTACCAAAAACAGTGCAAGAGATCAAGGGACATTGAATCAAGGAAATAGACTTGACATATAGTTTAATGAGTTACAACTCTGAAGATTTAGTAGTATATGATTCACACTGTTTCTATGCATAGTAAGACAACAAAATGCAGAAGTTACAAGCTGCAAGAAAGGGAATTCCCATTAGGTGACAGAACAACACTCTTCACAATGAGTATGGTCAAATTTTCCACAGGGTGTGCAGTCTCCATGGCTAGAATGCTTAAAATGCCCAGATGTGATCTGAATAGCTTGATCTAACCTGAAAGGGGTCCTTGCTTTGTGTAGAGGGTAGAATCTGATGATATTCAGAGGTCCCTTCTAATCAAATTCCATGACTAAGCCAATATATTAAGCTTGGCATCTGTATTTTCTTTACAGCATTCCACTACAGATACTCAGCTATGTTTCTTGCTCTTGTAAGTATAAGATGACCTGCTGCTCTAAGAATTAACCTTACAGAAATCCAAACAGGCACCATTACCTCAAGAATTAGTTGAGTGCACCAGAAAACATAATCAAACAATTAAGAAGGTACTGAGCCTCTAAATACTAAGCAGGCACCATTGCACCCTGTTGTAAATTGAGTAACACATCTTTAAATCTCAGTTATACACTAATAAGCAAAAGCAAGCAACAAAGTAGGCATTGTAACTGAATCAAAATTGTTTCTAACACTGATGCTACTGTATAACACTGAACCTTAGATTAAAAAAAATTCTTATAGTTTTAGTACACCTGCCACTATATATTTTTAATTTTGAAGTTTCCTATTCTTTTTTTTTTTGTCTTATTTTAAAAGAGCCTTCCTGCAAATAGTGAAACACTTCACACTAAGTGAATTTAAAGCAAGTTTATTTCAGATACATTTCTCAAAAAGTTTACAAGACTAAAACCACATTCTAGGCACGTGTAACAAACTGGAGATCACAACGTACTTTTAACAGGAGCATATATTCTCCATACTCTGTATAGCACCCCAGTGACTTGAAAAAGACTTTTTGAAAACACTCCAAGCTCCCAAGCTGCAAGTCCAAGCTTTGATGATTTAAGACTAATGAAATAAATCTAATAGGTGTACTAATAGCAGAAGACCATACTACGTACTGAATCTTCCCATTAGACTAAATAGCATACTTTCATACTTCACTGTACATTACCCTCAGTAACACTTTCTTCATGACCATGCAAATGTGACTGAAGAACTAAGATTTCAATTATACACTGAATCAGAATCCTAGCCATACTCCATAAACAAAGGAAAATTAGTTTATACGAATGGTCACGTTAAAATATAGACATAACTTAGACTTTCTACTTTTTGATCCTATTTGTTAGCTAGATCAAACAACACAACCAGTTGCTTGAAAACTCTCATAATCTGACATAGTCTTCTGCAATAAGCAATGCTCTATTTTTCAGGGATTTCTCATTTTTCTTCTATTGATTTCAGTAATACAAACCACTTTGCTGCAGTACTACTCTGTACAAAACCAAAACTTTACAATTTAAACTGGAGGAGAGTACTTTTCAGGTTTGATTATGCAACAAGATTTCTAGAACATTGAAGGTGCCCACACTGTGTATTAAAGTAAGACTGTCAAAACTGTTTCAACACTGCTATCACAGAGCATACAACAGCACAGATAGACTGCCAGGATGAACATGATGCATCTTAATGCCCCCTCCCCTCACTGAGGGCTGTGAAAACACTGGTCAAACCATTACCTGAAATGGGTTGGAAAAAGGGTGAGATATTATCCCTAGCATATTTTAAGTAAAGGAGAATCTTATCCTCCTTAACCTTGTGCTATTCAGTTGTGTCCTGCTTGTATTAGGCATAGCGTTTCAGGGAGCTGTAGAACCATCATGGGTTTGTAAGTTAACATCCTAGGAATGTTTAGGATTCAGAAGAGATTTCCATATGTATGCTTTTCATAAAGAAATGACTTATAACAGCAAGGTACATTAACTGGGAAGCAAGAATATCTAGGGCTGCTATTTATTCATAAAGATGATTAATAGTTTGATGAATCTCACTCATGACAGCTCCACGTGACAAGTATCCAGTGTTGACTACTACACCAAGTATCAACAAATTGGATGCCATATCTGGTAGAAGACTAAGTGAGAATATTCTTAACTTTTACAAAGTATCTCTTCCACATATCCAAGCAAGATTGGAGTAGTTTGAGTTAGCTTATCAGCATCATTATTAGCTATGCAGAAATAACTACTGCTGCAGGACTGATAAAGAAAACTTGATATCTTCTATAGAAGTGACCACATTGGTTACAAATAACAGCAAGCTAGTCACTTCTGACTTGCTATTCTTTCTCGAACAAACACTCTCTACAAAATGACCATCAACTAGTAAGCAAGCAAAAAAAAAAATCATCAAGAAAGTACAAACAGTAAAGACCATACCTTTGATTTAATCCTTAATAAATGTTGCTCCACTTCTTCAATATCTTCAGTGTTCTCTAAACGTTCATAAGCTGCACTGGTAGTTCCCTTAATCAGGTTCAGAGGCAAAGCTGACATACCATAAGCCTAAATAAAAAAAGAAACATACATACTCAAATTTTCTAACATACATTTTCATCTGATAGAGCTAAAACATACAGCAGCCTTAAGGTATCACTGATGGTTTTCTCCTCTTCCTCCTTCCACACACGGTTACTAAGGCAATCAAATCTTTTCATTTTTTTGAGCAAAACATAACAAACATGCTATGCAGATTCCAGTGTCCCACATTATTCCAACAGTACTCAAACATCTCAATCACAGACAATAGCATATGTTAAAATTTCATATAAGCATAGCCAACTGACGATTTAACAAGTTAGCCTTTGGGGTTTTTGTTAAGTTGTTTAGCTTCCCAAAACCTTAATTTTCCCATTTTAGATCATAATCAAAACATTGTGTAATACAGGAATTCTAGATATTGAATTTAAATACTTTCAGAAACAAAGTATGTACAATTTCTTTGTAGCCAGTAGTCTTCAACTTTCTACATAATTTCATTTTAGAAGTACATTATTTACTAAAAAAATTTATGCAGTAAAAAGCCACAGCAGAAGCTAGGTGAACACCTAAACTGTTACATTCAAAGATTGCTTAAATACCCATTCACATTCATAAATTTTGCTGGCATTTTGTTGGTTATAAATCCTGAACCATCCCAAGTGTTTGCCAGCTTCTACATCAACACTATATGCCCAGATTTTTTCCAATGCTGAGTCTGTAAGCCTTCCACTAACATTAGAAACAAATACGTAAGGGGAGGAAAGCAAGAAAATGCCACTATTTCCTCCCTGCTCCTCTGCGACTCAGATCTGGACCAAGGTCAGAAGTTTCTCCAAGCAGTTTAGAGACATTAGCCACAGGGTTTTATCTTAGTGTGGGCGGGAGGCTGTTTGTGACAGGATGTTCTTGGTGCAGAGCTCTAGGTTTTTCTTTTCTTTCTCTTAATTACAGTTAATACATGAAGTTTTACTAGAGTGCTTGATATCTGAACATTCACTAACTTGAGAAATTAGCAGTTTTATAGATTTTCACAGGAATACCACCCCCTCCTTCAAGCACAGCTTTATATTTCATACTAAGAATAGATTTAACACAAATGCTTGTGTTATAAATGTCATCATACATGCTGTCAGATCACACGAGCTTTCCAAACACAAGACTTTATTTGACATGCATAAGAACCTACTTAGACACACTCATGTCTCATATGCTGTACTCAAAGCAAGAGTACACTTGTCCATTTTCTTTTGATGCATTTTTCAATGCCATATACCCTGCCACCAAGACTCATTTCTAAGCACCTTTAACAAAGAGGTCCTATTTACTATTATTGTAGGTCAAAAACACATTAGCTAATTAAATTAATAACCGTTTAATATAAATGTCACTGATCCCAGAAACTTCAGTTTCATCCTGCAAGCGACAATATTCCATGATTTCAAGAAATACTCCTGCAAGTATTAGGCTATGAAAGCATGAAACAGAAGTTTAGCAGCCTGTTAACCTTGTTCACTTACTGTGGAATTAGTTCTCTTAAGTTCAGTGACAGTTACCAGCAAATTGTTGGAACAGTGTCAGTTGAGTTCAACAAGCAGACAGCATATGTGTCTCTCAACAGGCTTCAAACATGAGGAAACAGTGGTACCTGTTAAATCACTTGAAAGCATTTAAGTAATAGTAGGAGAAAAGTATTTTCCTTCAAATATTTCTTGAAGTATATATTAATGAAAAACACTTTCAGCTAGATTTTTGACAACTTGCACTACACAACTTTTTTTTGTAGCTATAAAGTATTAGAATTGAGTTTACCATAAATTCCTACAGAATAAGGTAGGATATTAGCTCAACATTTCACAATTTCACTGCTGACACAGCCTTATTTTTCACCCTAAAACACCAGTTTAAAAAAAAAGATTGCAGCACTGTTTACAAACTATTCCAAATAAAGTTAAACTCCATTTTCTTTAGCTACAAAACATAACTGGTAATTTCAGTCCCTATGTTAGAGTTTTCTCCTGTAAAAGCTATACAAATGAAAGACATCTCTTTTCACAGGCTAGTAATGGCAAAGAAATTTTATGCTTTCCAATGCATTCTAGAAGTTCTGGTTTGAATATAGCTATACAACCACAGAAAGGCCCACCTACAAGATTAAATATTTTAGGTAAGGAATATAATTTAACTTCAGCTGGACAACTCTGTCCATAAATGCAGCTCAGTTCTCCTGTTAGAGCATTTCCTTTGAGAGGATCAAGCTGCTTTGCTACCAACAGGAGCTAGAAAGCAGTCTCCCATAATCCTTCCCTTCTCTAGGCTGAAGAAAGAATTCCTTCAAATTCCTTCAGTCTTTCCTTACAGGCTGCATTCTTCAAATCCCTTATCACTTTCAGAAGCCTCCACTAGAGCCTCTACAAGTTTTCCAGTTTCTTAAACTGGGGGACTAAAACCAGTCATAGTATTCCCAGGAGGGACTCTGGAAGTGCCAAGTACAGTGGAATCATATCCCTTGATGTGAAGATTCCATGCTTAGCTTGCTGTCCACTAGGACTTACAGGTCCTTTTCAGCAGTCATCCCCCAACCAGTCAGACCAGCTTTTATTGTTGCTTGGAATTAACCCATTCCAAGAGAAGGCCTTAACATCTGCTAAACTTGATGCCATTCTTGCTGGCCAAATCTTCTCACCTGTCGATGTCTCTATGGTGGCTCTTCATTCCATTGTATCTACTTCTTCCAATTTGATATCATTCTTAAACTTGACAACTATATACTCAATCCCATCATCCATATAATTTCCAAAGACTAAATAGTATTGGGCCAATATTGACCTTGAAGAGCTCACTCAGGTCTGGCTTCTAGTAGCATAACTTCAGAATTTCTGTGAATGTATAAACACCACCCAATTTCATAACTAGAATGCAGGCTGCAAACTAACCAAGGTCGCTCTGTGGTACCCAAAACACTTCCAGCCAGCACCAAAGACATTCAGTATGCAGAAACATATAATAATGAGAGATTGCTATGACAATAGGCCTACACAATTTTATAAACCTAAATTCAGTAGCAATAAGATTTAAGTAGAGGCTACCACCTGTTCTTCAAACAGTTACCACCAACGAACAGATATCAAGTATTTACCCAATAGAAATAGTTAAGGAATAAAATTCAGAGCTCTAAATCTTCTAAATTGAAGTTTCTACAAAGCAAACTGCAACTCTTAGTGATGCATTGTTTTGCTAGTTTTGCAGATGTGAATTACATACGAGGACATCAAGCTTGCTGTAGTAATAAAGGCAGCCTAAGTTCCTTCCTTGAATACAAAAGATGCTAATAGAGAGATGATTATGCAAGTAAGCCTCCCTTCATCATGGGGGAAAAAAGCCACATTGGTCCTTCAAGACATCAATATATAGAATGAAGGACAAAGATGAGTCATCTCATGTGATGTGTCACAGGTCTGAACAGAAGCTGTATTAGCTCAGTTTCAGGGCTGCATTTCCCTTCAGGCTGATGTAGAAGTTCAAGGCTGCCCTGAATAGTTTTAACACTTGCACTAACCCAGAGAATTAAGTTATTCATGGGCTATTATTTTGGGCATCTGCAACTCAACAAACAAGCAATGTATTGAAGATGGCACAGGAAAATCAAAGCTGTACACTAAAGCCAAGAGAGGGCTCAGTGCTGAAACAAGCTGTTGGTTCAAAGTTTGGAATAGGAATAAAAACAGTTCAGAAGAGTTTTTAAAGTAGTTGAGACAAGTTAATTTATATACATGAATTTTGATAAAACAAGTAATAAAGTCTTGAAATATTGATATATTTACACCACTAGAACAACAGTTTCCAGGACTTATTTTTATATAACTTTCTTAGAAGCATTCAGTCAGGTAAGAGGCACTGCACTAAAGAATAAAAACAGCCATCCAAATGTAACAGGCAATGGTATCATACATGATTGTTTTTCCACGTAAGTTCTTCAAAACAAACTGAATCCAGTACTAAATACTAAGTGTTCAGGCTGGTATCTGATAATATATGCTGCAAAGTTAGTTCTTTAAAGTCTCAGGCTGCTCTTTGCTGTTACTGAATGCCTGATCAGCTTCATTGAAACCTCATTTTACAGTAGGAAAAAAATAAATAAATTTATGGTTACAACAACTTGTTTTCAAGAAGATTCCCCTCACTTTAATCCATACATTTGATCCATATAAGAGATCAACCCCTATCAGTTAGCTTAAGGGCTGGAAAGCCAAATCCTAAGTGCTCACTAGCAAGTACAAGTTGCAGGGATCATCCATGAAGCAGCTGTCTCATTTTGATTTGAGAGTCTGCCCACAGGACTATGGCTTACCTCTCCTATAAAAAGAACAGTCTAAACAAAGCTCTTTGCACTTCTTCCTTTTTTGTTATTCACAGAAGTGGTAGCTCAGCCTGAGACAGCAGTTTGCAAAGAAATCTGTCAGCAGTAAAGCAGGAGTCTAACTCACATGAAAGCAACAATTGGTTCAGTACTGTTTATGCAGCACCAGTAGGCATTGAAGAACAGCAAGCAGCATGCTCTGGCTGGTCTCTCAGTAGGCCACTGCACCCAAATATACGCTGTGCTCCAGACAGAGCACTAAAATACCTCAGAGGTTACATAAGCATTGTTTCCAATTTGCTTAATCTTCACTTCTCCTGTGTCCCTTTCCTTTCTATCCTGTCTGCAGCAGATCCAGCTCTTCCCTTGTTACCTAGGTAAGATTTAGAAGGAAGAGCTACTGTTCTGATCCTTTGGTCTCCTGCAGATTCAGCATCTTACAATACTTCAGACTTGCCAAACTCACATAGCCCACAGCTAGATAAAATAATTGTCTTATTAGTTGCCCAGTATTTTAGTAGTCATTGATAAGAAGATGGAAGAAGTCAAGTTGTGAAATGTTTTACAGAAGTTGTAGCAAGCAACTATGTTGGGGTAAATCCTTGAGCATTAAAAAGATCCAAAAAGGTTCTTCACTGGGAACCACAACCACTAGCTTAAAACTTTTAAATTACACAAGCTACCAAAGAGTTCCACTGAAAAGGGTGTATTGTTAAGGTGGGAACACCTAATAATCAACCAGATCATCCATAACCACACAGATAAGTCATGAGAAAAACAGGAAATACACACTGAAATTAATACTGCAAATGCCTTTAG